TGAATTGCAAAACAAGCAATCACTACATCTTTTTGTATTGGGAAAGGGTAAGGAGCCATTTGTCTTAAAATTGGAAATCTTGCTTTCAAGACCCCGTATGCACGCTCGATGACATTTCTAAGTTGTGCATGGGCATGATTAAACCGTTCTTCCTTAGTCAAGGCACGTCGGCGTCGAAAATCTGCTAACCAATACCTTGTATTGCGATAGGGGGTCATAAATCCACGAGTATTGGTATATGCAGCATCACAAAGATAATATTTACCTGTAACCACAAAATACAATTTAAAAGTATAAATCATAATGAGGTTTAAATGTTGAGAAAAAAAAATGAAACATACTTGGTGGAGGAAACGGAAATCCTGAAGTTGGGTTAAATGCAACTTMTGTCAGAACTCGAGAATCATGTGCAATGCCTTCCCATCCAGCCCAAACAAATGTGAATATCATATTAAAATCACAAACCGCTAAAACATTTTGATAGCATTCACCTCTTCCTCTTCCTCTATACCTAGCTTGTTGACTAACGGGCACAACCRCATGTACCAAAGTTCCATCTAGTGCACCTATAGCCCCCTTTTTTATGAAATAGAAAACATTAGAAAGTATTTACATATGTTAAKAATATTCAGTATATCAAGACAAAACATACCGGAAATATTTTTTTGAATTATTTATTAATATTAAAATATTAAAAAACTGTAGAACACAATTTATTTCGTTAACATTTTAGAGATAATTTTAAAAGATATATATTTATTTGAACAACATAAAATAAGAAGAGTTATATTTTTTACAAACAAAATATATTTCGAAAATAATGTTTCATATTACTCTAAGAATATTTAATTTGCATGCAACTTAATAAAAAAAAGTCAAAAAAAATTAAATATTTTTTTAGATCATACCAATGAAAAATGAAAATCACTAATAATAATTTGAAATAAGTTTTTATTTTTATTTTAGTTAAGTCATCAAAATGACGTGTCATCCACATCACCTCATTAAAGTTACACAAGCAAAAAAAGTCAAATGGTTAATCGGTTTAAAAGGTAATAAGTTACTCATTGCTATAATGAGTAGATTTTTTGAAGTACGATGTCTTAATAAAAAATAATTTGAAGGTATATTATAAAGAAAAACAAAAGTATAATGCTATAATCAGAAAATTTATGAAAATAGGTTGTTATTTCATGCATTTAATTTTTCTTGTTTTTACTATGTTCTTGTTTGAACCTCTCTGTATATAATGAAGATAATCATGTCCATAATTAACTCCATCCACAATAAAAATACTAACCAACCATCATAATTAAAAACGTGAAAAATTAAACACATGCTCCACCGCTTGTGCAGGCCCCCGTTAATTCCTTTTTTGAAAAGCAAGCCAGAGAAAAGCATCGTTGAGATAATACCTTTCATCCTAATCTCAGCCCATAAAGGCCATGCGGACTTGACGTCATCCCCACCTTCCTCCAGTATATAAAAAAAATTATGATTGATTGAATGTGATTTGTACGGTTTGTGAAAATGACTTGGTTTGCATTTGATCTCTTCCATATATATATATATAGAGAGAGAGAGAGAGAGAGAGAGAGAGAGAGAGAGAGGATAATGCAAGAAGCTAGGGAGAATGAATATGAACCACATAATTCATTAATTAAAAAATAACATAAAAGAATCTAGAAATTAAGATAATTATATTTTGAATTGGATAAATTTTTAAAAATCTAAATATATTTTTTAGATTTATTTATTTTTTAATATGATAAATTCATAATTATTTTATAAAGATTTATATAATTTTTTTCTAGATATACTTTGATAAAAAAAAATTCAAAAATTTCATCAAATATCTCATGTGATATTTACAATTAATGCATAATCTCTTTTACCGTCTTTTCTCTAATTTTGGATCTACGTTTTGAAACACATGTGTGATAGTCCTTAAATGTGATCAATCTTCAAATATCTTTAAGGATTCATGGCAGATCTAAGATTTATAATCAAGAACAGAGAGGAGATGAGAGAGAAAGTCAACAAGTCAAACCTTTATAAACTCTCAAATGTTTACGTATTGTACAAAATGAAATCTCCTATAAATTTTACAAAAGACAAACCCTTTATATAGGGTCAAACTTGAAAGCCATTAATCAAAGTCAAACTATCATAAGAAAAGTCAAACACGATGACTTTTACAACAATTATAGACAATTTTTATCTTTTCAAGACGAATACAATTTAATACATAAATTCAGTCATAACATTCTCCCCCTTTGTATTCAGGCTTGAAACAATTTACGCGCTTTGAATCTCGTTTGAACTTTGTCACTTTAAGCACTTTATGACTTCTACAAAATCTTCAAAACAATCTTCACTTGAAATCTTCAGACGATCGTTTGTTGAGAAAAATATTCTAACATTCTCCCCCTCGAATGTAGAAACGCGATGATCTTCTCTGTTGGCAATGTAGAACAGTATCAGCAACGATCTTCAGATATAATCTTCAAGATACGATCTTTAAGAATCTTCAGACAAACAAATTCTAACATTCTGTCCAAAAAACGAATTTCTTCAGACAAAATCTCACAAACTTTCTTCTTTGATGAGAACTCTCTTATCAGTAAACTGTTGTAAGGATGATCTTCACATTCAAAAACTCTCAGACAATGTAACACAAGAATAATCTTCAGTAATAATATCCAGCATACTCCTTTTGTGTCTTTTGCCGATCTTTGGTGTTACTCCCCCTTGATCTTTACAACATATTCCTCTTATATCATTCAGAATTGAACATTTCATTCATTATTACATACTCCCCATTAAGATGAAATGAGAATCATTACATCATACATCTGAATGAATGAAATCTTCAGCGAAAGCCGTCAATTCATGAAATTGTAAGTAGATCTTTTCAAATCCACTTGTTTAATCTTTTCAGATTAAAGGGAATGAGAAGGTAACAACCAATTTCAATTTATGAAATTGTTTTCAATCTTATAAAAAGATTGGCTTGTGAGTATAACAAATATACTCAGTACAACAGATGTACTGTATATATGAGACTTTTTAAGGTTCATCTCACCAGGTCTTCCATTCAATCATCGATATCTTATAAAAGTATATCTATGAATGTTTCGGTAAAATAACATATAAAATGCAATCTGTGTAGTGTAGAAAGATAAAGCAACCTATGCTTCTGTTTAGGCTCAAAAAGATAAACCGTGTGGACTACACAAATTTAACAGACTCAATTCGTGATAAAAAAGACTTGAAGGGGGGGACATATATCCTTCTGTTTCAATATCAAATTTCTTCGAATGAGAAATTGATAGATTGTGAGCTACGTGCCCCAAGTGTTATTGAAACACTTATCTGTTAAGAGATAAATGARTAGCTGGTGGGGTTGTGACAAAATTGGCCTGGGCATTGCCTTTTTCAATATTAGTCTCGAAAGAATTGAGAACTAATAGAATGTGGTATGCCCACTAATTTGAAGTTTAGAACATGATTCTGTTTATTCTTTTAATCTTGACACAACTCTCATCAATTCTTTTGTCTCACAACAACTACCCCTCTCTTTTTCATTTTAAT